TGTGTGTGTGTGTGTGTGTGTGTGTGTGTGTGTGTGTGTGTGTGTGTACATGCATCCTTGCATGGGTGTGGGCATGTGTGTGTTTGGAAGTGCTCATAATGTGTGCGAGCATGCTTGTTGAAAGCTGAGGTTGATGTCAGGAACCATTCTTGAGAGCGCTAACACCTTATTCTTTGATGCAGGCTTCCTCTATCAAACCCACTATGGCTAGCCTCATTAGCCAGCCTGCTCTGGGAATCCCTCATCTCTACTTTCAGAGGGTAGATATATAGGTGGGCTTCCATATCTGCTTGCCATTGGCCTTGGTCCTGGGGATCTGAACTCTGGTCTTCACACTTACATGGCACTTGGTTCTGCTCTTTAACCACTGAGCCGCTATCCCTCCAGCCTTTTAAATATCTATTGATGGTGACATATAATTAACTGATGACAGCTACCTATTACATTTTTAGTCCCAACGTCCCTCTTCTTTTGAGACAGGGTCTCATGTAGCTCAGACTGGCCTCCAACTTGCTAGATAGCTTCAGGGTCTGTCTCTTGACACCATGCTTGACTTCCAGTAAATGTCAACAGACACAAACTCCGAGAAAAAAAAGCCACTAAGAGTCCTCAAGGGTTGTGAGAACTGATGGGAAGGAGGCCAGATGACTCCTTATTACCAAAATAGTTCCCTGGGGGGGGGGGGGGGAAGTTCCCTAGAGCCAATTGAAACCTAGAGTTATTTTTCATTTGATCTGCATTGTTTGGCTTCTGTACTGTTTTGAAAGGTTGTTAAACTGGCATGTTTTCAATATTTTAACACGAAAGGGTTTCAGGTAAAACAACAGAGTTTTTAATTATGCTGAAAAGATGGGTGGGCAGTCTGCACTGGGTTCACATTTCTGTTTGGTCCCCTGAGCTGTGTTGTGGCTGCCCCCTTCTGGACACATGCTTTTCCATTGCCCTCCATTCTCTTACCCTCTCTTTGCTCTGGAGGTCCCGTGTGACTCACAGGGCCTGCACAGCTTCCGGAAGCACCTGCCTATATAATGTGTGGCCTGTGCAGTATCCTTAGTGGCTAGACGATGGGAAGAGCGGGTAGTGGCCTGAGGATCAACTCCTCCCTGGCACCGGGGGAAGGAGAAGAGCCCCTGAAAGGAAGATGACATCTTCAGATGAGAGATGTTTCCAAATTTGGGGCAATGGTCTGTTTTCTTTAAAAAAGAATCGTTATGTGTGCATCTGCTGTGTGCATATGTATGTCTGTATAGTCTTATTCATGAATGCATGTGTATGAACATCGTGTTGGAAAACAACTTTGGGTATCAGTCTTCATCTCCCACTCTGAGACAGTCTTTCATTGTTTGCTGATGTGCACAGCAGGATTACAGACACAAACTGTCATGTCTGACTTTAAGTAGGCTCTGTTGGATTTGAACTCAGGTCTTCACTTGCATGTCAAGCACTTCAACCACATTTTTACAGATTTCCTGATGATCTGCTATTAATAGAGCCATGAATTAGTACAGTGCCGAAAGAGTAGAGGTGGGGACTCCTCAGTGATTTTAGGTTCAGGATTCAGAGTAGCCATGAACATTTCCAGTCTGGTGACAACATCCCTCCATTTTAAGCTAGTTTTTGCAAAACCTTGTCTCCCTGACTTCTTGCTTGTTCTTCCTTTGACCTATTTCATTTCACTGAAATTTTTCATCAGTCTGCCATTGGGCCTGTCAGTCAAGGGAGTGGTTTCCCTGTTTTAGAGCATGCTAAACCAAAAACCACGTGGACATTGAATGCAGAGGTTGCTGTTCAGCCTCAGTGTTGCCAGCAGTACATTTTTTTTTTTTTTGCTAGATTTCTTCCTTTGGCTCTGTATTTCACACTGTCAATGAAAGTCCTTTATTTCCACTTCCACTTTTGCCTTGAAGCCAAAGCTTCCGTTCTGGGTGGTCAGAAACATGTGCCTGCCAGCAACCAGCTGATTTCAGTTGAAAGGGGAGCAAGGCGCCACCAGTGAAAACATGTTTTAATTAATATCAGCTTGCTTAGCTGACAAGGGCAGAGGCCTGGAGCTAGCTTTACCTCTGCTAAACAAATTACTAAGGTATATTCGAGCATTAAATGTGTGCCCTCCTTTTGTTCTGGCTGTAAACATGTTGTCAATGCCATGTTCCTTTGGGGTAATGTGATGCCTCTTAAGATTTGCATATCTTCTTACTCCTCCATCCCCAAGTACATAAATGTGTAAAATATGTTCATATGTTACCAACATGATATTCACATATATGTAAATTTTTGCTTCTTTTTGCCTGTTAAAACTGGTCACAAAAAAGGATACTGTTGTCAATATCTAAGGTTTAAGAAGAGAACCAGGGAACATCAATGTTCCCTGGCTTTTATAGCTGTTTTGGGACCCCTTTCATGCGAGAGAACAGTAATTGGCTTACAGGATGGAGGGCTCAGCTCCTCGGGTTCCTCTATATATTCCTTCCAGTAGACAAGATTTAACCAAATTTCGACCGTGGCCTAAAGAGCTGACTCTGTCCCACCTAGTTTTAGTAGTGGGTCTGCTTGTGAGTTCTCCATTTAGAAGGTATGACCTCAAAAGCATGCACTGGAAGATGGGTACCAGGAGTGAGCAAATCCCATTTCCACTCTTATAGAGAGCCTGATACTACCCAACTCAGGGACACTGGGAAGAGCAAATGAGCTCACACACAAGAAGAACTTAGAATAGTGTCTGTTACACAGACACTGTCACCTCTTGTTGTAGACACTGTTTGTGCCCTGCCCCGATTCACGTATGGAAGATCTGATGCCCAATATAATGTGATTAACAGGTTATCACTTTGAGAGATGGCTGGGTAATGAGGATGGCATTTTTGTGGTGGGATTATTGTCCTTGTAAGAATAGACGTGGAACCCCCAGCCCTTTTTTCCTATACCATGAAGGATAAAGCAAGAGGATGTCCAATTGTGAGTTAGAAAGAGAGGTCCCATTAGGATCCAAATGCTGGCACCCTAATCATGGACTTCTTAGACTCCAAAACTATGAAGAGTAAATTTCCGTTATTTTAGCTACTGGGTTTATGGTATTTTGTCATAGCAACCTGAAATAAGATACCCTTAAATGATGGTTAGGTAATATTTTTACTATTCTTGGCAGCTGAACTTGAGTCTGTCTATGAAAATGGAAATAAACTACCTAAAAGATTGCCAGGCAAACTGGACTCTGTCTTTACCGATTTGGAATTCCAGGGAGTCTGCCCTGAGCAAGGACAGCCCAGCAGCTATTGAAGGATGGCACATCATGTCCTGGCACTTGAGGACAGTCACAAACACTCAACCCACATTTTAAATCTATCACAGGTCAGAGATTGATCAGAGGCCATGTTGACAAATCTATTTGTTTATTCACTCGTTTTATTGTTTACCTCTGCATTGGCTAAACATCTACTGAGTGCTTCCTACATACCAGATACACAGACATGGACGTTCATACACTGGTTTGGGGTTAGACACAGTCATTAGGTATTTCTGTGATATAGAACTTAACTATTTCAATTTAGAAGCAATGATGGAAGCACCAGTCTTCCCCTGACGTTCCCTCAAGCATGCGACATCATACATCATCTCACTGGCAGGAAATTGCTTTGAAAAGAGGAACAAGACCACAACTCGTAGAAAAAAAATTCATTAAGTACCCAATTTATTCAGAAAACAATACAATTTAAACATTTATAAGTTTTTTTTTGCTATACATTTTTTTTAACCATCATTCCCAAAATGTTATGCATCTGGTTGACATGTATTTGCAAGATAAAGGATCTATAATTATAACTCTGGAAATTGTACAAGACATTTGGTTTGCTTAGTTAATTATTGTGGTTTCCCCTAAAAAACAAACAAACAAAAAACCCTACCCTAACAACATATTTCTTTTGCTTTGTATACATCTCACCATTTTTCTGATCCAAAATAGGTTTCACTTTGTGCCTTTTGTAGGTTATAAAACATCTGTCCACCTCTCTGAGGGACGATGACAGAAGAAGTCACTGTTTCAGTTCAAGACTTAGATTCAGACAAAACATCCCCACCATAGACAGCGATCCCAGGAATTTCTGCTTACGGAGTGATGGAAAGAGGCCGAAAGATACCCCACAGCGATCTCAAAGATCAAATGAACAGAACAGAAACCTGGGGAGCCACCTCGCTCTTTGGCATGGAAAAGATTCCATTCACCATCCAATGGAGAATCTTAGGAAATAATTTCTAGGACCTGATATAAAAAGGGAACCATCCATGCAGTCAGCTGCGGCGCCTCTTTTAGCCAGAAGGAGAGTTGCTCGGTCTGGACGGGGAAGAGGTGTGACCCTAAAGCAGTCAGACCGACTTGAGGTGTCCAGCTTCTGGAATCAGCCTCACTGCTTTCTAGTCTCACCTCGGAGATGGGCCAGCTCTCTACGATACTGACAGGGAAGAGGTGTTATCGGCAAGCAGGCTGGGAGCTGCCCTGGGCGGGGTGATCTCTATGGTGAAAGTCGCAAGTTCAGAACCTCATCAGTCCTCACGCAGTGCAAGGAATGCATTAACATCAAGGAGGACCCCGTGAGACATGCAGAACCTCAGGCACTGCATTAAAAAGCTCCATTAGGACGAGAGTCCCCAGGAATTTGTGTATATGGTTAGTGTGTAAAGATGGGTACTGGATGAAATGACCCGGACCCACTTCAAAAAGACTACCTCTAGGTAGATAAATTTATTTAGTAGAGAGACCATTCTCAGCAGGGAGAGATTATAGATAACAACTGCAAAAACAGTGTAAGGTTATTATTAGTAATTATTATTTTAAACATGCAAAATACAGTCCATGCATCTGCCATTTTGAAAAGTCTCTCAGCCTATAGGAGATTAAGCCAAATATACGTTTTGGCTATCAACATTCAAGAAATGTTTCAAAATGCTTTACAGTGTAAAGATAATAAGAAATTTAGCAAAATTTCAACAAACCGGTATAAAAATGGATACATACACCATTTTATTCCAAGGCGACATGCTGTAAAGAGTATGTTATAACTATTTCATTGTAAAAAGTCTTCAACAACACAAGGGCTTAACAGATCCAGGCCTTGGGGCTACACATGCAAAAAAAAAAAAACAATCAGTTAAAAATCACCGAAACGTGCTATCTTTAAATGTATATCATTATTATTTTTTTAAAAGTACAGGAATACAATGAACAGTGTTTCAGAACTCTGTGAAAGTGTGGAGTTCATGGTGCCAGTGTCCTGGAAGACTCATACACTTCCGACGAACACTTGGGTTTAATCCCTTTACCATTGTAATAGTCCACGACTTGATTTGGGACTTCAGCCAACACACTCTTTGCAAGGGCAGCTGGCGATGCCTGCAGGAAAGAAGAAATAAGCATGATTTGAAGCAGATGCAGACTGACTCAAAGAGCTGAACCCTGCTCGGAGGACCTAGGTTCATCCACTCAGTCATCCAGTCATCCAGCCATCCGCCCACCCAGTGCCCTTGTGCTATGTCTACAAATGTAATTTGCATCTGAGGATGAATTGCTCTGCAGGTGCTTGTTTCGTTTAAATTTGCGTTCTGTTTTAGACACTTATGTTCCAGCCATTATGCCAGGAGCAGTGGAACTATTGGAAAAGTAGGAGTCATGTGAGGGGGGGACTCGAAAGGGCTAACTTGAACCTTTCTGTGAGATACCATGCTGTAAATACTATCAACCAGGGCAGATGTTTAGAAGGAAGCCAGAGCTCCTGTACACAGTACTTTTAACAGGATGCCCTGACAACTCCTACTGAAATCTGAGGTGTATTGTTACAGAAAGTCACAAACACTTCGAGACCAAGTTATCCAGGAAGAAATGAGAGCATGCCTCCAAGAGGAAGCAATATTTAACTTGGGCACATATTTAAAATTCAGGGAAAGGAGTGGGGAGTGGCACTCCATGATTCTAGTGACAGCAAGGCATCTGATGGAGCTGAAGAAAGAATACATGCTCGTGTGTGTGTGTGTGTGTGTGTGTGTGTGTGTGTGTGTGTGTGTGTAAGTTGGGGTGGGGGTGGGTGGTGGTGTTGGGCAAGGGACTCAGACTTGGGTAGTCACTTAATTAGAAAATGAGCTTGGGGTCAAAATCTTGAATGTCCCCGTAGTGCTGATTTTGCAGCAGAGAATGACTGAGGTCAAGGGCATGCTAGACTCTGGGATCATAGAGAGCGAGCAGGTCCTGACTTCTGGGTCTTACCCTTAGTACTGACTGCACAAGGAGATTCAATTTTCTGTGTGGCTGGACTTATTACTTTCCCACCCTTAATCTCCCTCACCCCTAACCCTATACAGGAGAGAAACAAGGATACAAGGGAGAGAGGAATTAGAAAAACCCCTGAATCTAATTTCTTTCCTTTTGTTTCTTCTTTGATCATGGCTACTAGCAAACTGCAAACAACCTCCCTAAATGACCAACAACCACCGACTGGCTCTTGGAGCCCTCAAATGTATGTACCCTCTGAAAAGTTCCAAAATTTCCAAACTTCACACGGTCTCAGAAACTATCTGCAGTGGCAAAACCATGCTTCTGCCAGAGCACATCTGTGTTTAAAAAAAAATATATCCAGAATTCCCACTAGGAGGGTGAGCCTCCCTATCAGCTATTGAAGGGATTGGAAGGCTGGTCAGAGTAACCAGTTAATAAATATTTGAGATTCTCAAGGAAGGAGAGCTGGTCTGAGGGCCAGAGGACTGTGTGTCTCATCTTCTTTTCTCAAACCATTTAACATGAAGCCCTAATCTCAGAGGGAAATAGAAGCCACTCTATCTAACAGTATGTGAAAATAAGATACCTGAGAAATTCAGAAAAACCATGAAGAGGTTTGGTTTGCTTACGGTGTGATGATGGCATAGCTTGGGAGAAATCTGGCCTGCAGACATTCTTTTACTTTGCAAATGATTGGTTGGGCTTAGACTATGGTTCATGTATATATGGGGGCAGAAACAAAATTCATCTCCATCCTCTCCCTGGTTAGAAAGGTTAGAAGGCCAAAACCAACTTGGTTTCTGAGCTCTTTCTATGTCTAGGGACAGCCACATGACTCAGTTTGCCCTATAAGATGTGAATGGAAATTTCCTGGATGAATTTTAGAACTCTTACTTCCTGCTTAAAAAGAACAGACACAGTAGGCTCTGTTTTCCTCTTTTCTTTTTCCCTTGAATGAAAATGTAATCCTTGGTAACAGCCTTTTTTTTTTTTTCATCAAGAACCATCAAAGGAGACCATAGTGCTGATTTCCATACTACTCAATCAAGAATGGAGTGGTCTGAGCCACCATCCCTAACATTTAATTACATAAGGATAAATTTGCTCGCTCTTTATAAAAAAATGTGTCTTCTTGCAGCCTTCAGTTACAGTTACTTTCTAATAATAACCGGTCAAAACGCAAAGAACAATTAATTAGTGCCCAGGCCCACTAGATATAATCACAACACAGCTCCTACAACCAACTGTCAGAGAATGTCTTGGAAGAGGGATTGGACAGGTTATAAGGGCCAGAAGTCTAGAGGGTCTGCTGAGATAGTGTCTTTTACATATGAGAGGGGACCTGTCCTCCTTAAACCTCAACAATATGGTTGCCCAAACAAGAGTTGAAGGACAACACAAGTTGACACGCCAATGTGGGTACGTGGAATCTCAGGAGGCCTGGTTCCTAGAGGCCATTGACGGCTGTTGTGGGAAGGACAATCAGTTTTCTCCAAGTAGGTTATCCAACCCAACATGGTCTGCCCTAAATAACATGTACATGAGCGCTAGAGCTTGAACTCAAGTCCTGATGTCTGCATGGCAAGTACTTTATAGACTGGGTCATTTCTCCAACCCCATTTTTAATGAATCTGAATGCAAATATCCACTGTGGTTAGTGGCTATCTCACTGAAGAGCACTGGTCCTAGGGGGCCCTTTACATATCTGTGCCGGTGCAGGCACTGAACTGTAGAAACATGAGGTGGATAGGAAAACTCCCAAAATACAAAAGCAGTTGGCAATAACAGTAATGTGAGCAGTATCCACTGAGCAACTCCCATGAGCCGGGCATCATACCTAAACTCCACCTTCTACCATCCAAGGCATTTGCAGCATTTGCCTCATCTTACTGAGTCCGCGTCACTGAGAGCTTAAGCAATTTTGCCAGAGCCACACAGTTCAGAGCTGTGCCTGAGCACCTTAAAGCTCCGTGTTAACATGCAGAGCAACGAAAGAGAGACAACTCATGGCTTACTGGTGCGTATGAAATATCAGCTCCTCACCTGGCTTTTGTTTAAGGCTTATTAAATTCTGAGCAGATTAGTTTAAATAATGAACTGTTTTTCAGAATCTAATTTGAAATCCATGAAGAGAAGGGAGGTGAAAAATGCTCCTGATGCTCTGCCCGTGCCACCCCCGGGGAGGCCGAAAATGCACAGCAGGGAGCATAAGCGGGACACTGTGTCCTTGCCCTGCTTGGGGCAATTCTGTCACGGGACGATTCCCTTGCTTCCATTCCCCCTTCGGCCCCTGTCAACAATCCTCCATTTTCCGGCCCATGCCTAGCTTAGGCTGGAAGGGTTTTCCTGGGGTCTGTCTCTGCTCTGAAGTCATTTCAGGGCTGTAGAACTTGGAAGCCGCTGGCCCCATGTAGCTGCATGCAGCCGAGGACAGGGATGAAAGCAATCCAACTAAAATAATAAACTTGAAATCACGAGGTTTCTTTTCTTTGCAATTGTTTTTGGAATTCAATTGCACGGTTCTCAGACATAAACGCCGTAGCTCACGATGTCATCTTGCAATGATGGAATGTTGGACACAGAGCTAAGGAGACAGCTCAGTCAACAAAGTGCTTGCCATGCAGGCATGGAGACCTGACTTTGGATCCCCAGCACTCATGTAAACATCTGGGTATGTATTCCTGTGCACTTGTAAATGTTGGCGTTGTGGTGTGGGGTGTGGGAAGGGAGACAGGCAATCCTTGAGGCCCACTGGCCAGTGAGGTCAGTGAGCATGGGTTTACTCAGAGGCTCTGTCTCAAGAAAAAGAAGGCGGGAAGTGATAGAGGAAGACTCTTGATGTCAATGCCTGACCTCCATATGCACATTCCTACCTACATACACATGTACATATGTCCACACACACGTTGGGAATGGCTGTAAGTTATTCTCATCCACCCACGGGCTGCTGAGCATGTGGACTTTTTGTGATATCCTTGTCCTAAACATGCAAGTTCAGTAAATTCTCCAAATCCTAGAGTCACGCTTTTTTAGCTCACTGGGGTCTCAGTGTGTGTGGAATGAAGGAACCCGAGTCTATAAAGTCCCGAGTCAATGTGCATTGACATGGGGTACGGCTAGGGAAAGGACCCCAGTGCTTCATCCCCATAGGTATGGCAAAGCCTTTCCCAGGTGAGGCTCAGAAGGATGGCAAATCCATCCTCGGGTATGGACGAGGATGTTGGTATAGTGTGTACAGAAAATGCCCACCGTAGCTCCACACACCGTGTTTTCATCCTGAAGTCTGCTCCTTACAGAGGCTGATCCTACCTGGATTCACTAAACCTGTCACCTTGTTCACCTGCTCCCAGGGTGCTGCAGCTTCCTCCAGAGAGCCAAGTCCAACCCACCCCAACTTCTGTGTACATCTGTATGTCTTTTTTTCTTCACTCCCTTGCTGCCCCCGTCAGGTCTGTCTCTGGGAGCCAGGCTGGATAAGGCACCAGTGTGTCTGGTGTGTTCCTGGTGCAGTGAGGAGTCCATGAGTTTGAGGTTAGTGCCTTTCATGGCTCAGAGGTATTGCTCTTGTGTGTGTAGATTAAGGGGAGTGTGATGGTTACTTTCGAATATCATCTTGCTAGTGGAGCATCCGCTTTTATTTTTCCTTGTTGACAGAAGGCCAGGAAACTACAGGAACAGCCTTCCCTCTACCTCAGGTGTATTAGGGAGTAGAGAGAATCATGGAATTCAGCTGCAGCAAATTGAGCCAGCCCCAGTACACCCTCCCATGAGGGCTTTTTTGATGCCATGCTTTGCTTCCCATAGCAGGCAACTTGAGAGCTTGGGGAGCTTTAGGTACTTTCCTTTAGAAACCTCCTTGGGGGCAGTTACTCTTCCCCTACAGCATTGACCAGAGAGCTCATGAGGGAGATCAGCTTCTGCTGCTACTTGAAAATGCCCTCTATACTCAGCTTTGCAGCAGGAAACTGGTCCCCTGCCTGCTTAATGATTTTAACCACACTGCGGCTCTCTTTAAAAGGAGAATACTGATCGCATTGCAGAATGATGACAAAGAGGTTCGGCGAGCCCTGTGATGTACAGTCACCCCCCTTTTAGGTCAGATGGGGCATGGACTCTAGGGTTCAGGCTGTCACGGAAAGACAGAGGTGTGGGCAGCCATGTCAGGAGAGCACCTGAGAATATCTCTGTTGCTGGAATTGCCAGTGCTATTGTGGCTGTGGACCTAGCCTGAGCTCAAATTGGACAGGATGTGCTTGGATACAGCTGGTAAGCTGGCTGTGAAAAATGTTGGAGGTTCATATGAGTGAGAGTCTTTGGACAAATGGCTTTTCCAAAAAGCATCCAGTGGGAGAGGGTCTGTGTTGGATGGCGTGGCCCCGTGCCTCCCTCTATCTGATCTCAATAGCAGTAGAGCCCCACATAGAGAGAGACTGCTGTAGGAGCTAACAGGAACATTTCCAGAAGGGACACCACACACACACACACACACACACACACACACACACACACACACACACAAACACACACATTCATGGTGACCTGTACAGAGGAAATACTGTAAAGGACATTGAAGACTACGCATTTCCTCCTGCTGGGAGCTCATGTTTAGCACCTCCCCTTGGAATGGTGGCAGCAAGAGCAGAGCAGAATCTAGGGCTGTAGTGGAGAGCAGGGGCTGGGGATGTGCACTGTTGTTAGTGTTTACACAGGCTACAAACCGAAGGACACAGGAGACTCCCTGTTGCCGCCTAGACTATTTCCACGGTCTCCTGGACACAGTTCTGAAAGGGCCTTTTATAAACCCAAGAAAGTCTTAATGTTGGCTATCACAGCTTCATTTGGGGTTGGGTTTGTGGAAATTTCAATGTACTTCTGCTGTCCCCAAACTGGAAGTGTAGGTAGAGTGTTAATGAGCATCTTCTCAACATCATACTAGGGAATTATCCAGAGCATTTGCTCCAGCCAATCAGAAAACACAACTCTGCTTTCCTGTTTACTATGGGTAATGGCTCACAACTGTATAAACTGATAGAATACAGGCGATTTTTGTCCAGAGAAGTGAGTTAAAGATTATGGGTTGGTATGTTCTTTGTCATGAACCAGTCTGCTTTGACAAGCTTATTCTATCGTTTTCTCCCCTCACTGACCACACTAAACCTACCTTAATATTCATTTGTACTGGCCCAACTAGCACCTGAGTGAGCAGACTCACTTGCCAATGCTGTTCACTGTACTGAGATGGCCTAAGTGTCTGTCATTGTGCTCACAACTTTTGCGAAGCAGAGATAACCTGCTGGCCGGGCCAGGCTGAATTTCAGCTTAGCCTTGCTCTTTTTCCAGGTATCCTTGAGCAATCAATAAGCTGTCCAACTGTCAGTGGCAACCCTGAAGGGACTAGAGAGCCAAAACTTCATGAGTGAAGGCGAGCATTTAAAAAATTTGGCTACTCTAGTCACCATGGCATCTTATTTGTAACTCAATGTCTGCTTCTTTGCCTTGGTAGTCACGATCTGTATATTCTTCCTACAGAGTTTGCTCAGCCCAGACAGGGTCTGTTGATGCTGCTTCAAGAATAACAGGTCACTACCAACATTGGCGGACACGTGGGAGGCGTGACGATGCCCCCATCATTTCTATGCGTACGTGTTTGAAGTTCCGGAAGGGCACAAACTGGACGATGTCTCGAAGGACAGGCTCTCCCTTTGGGGACCTCAGAATCCCGTCGTCACCATCCAGCATCTGCATGTCACTGAAGTCGGCGTTCCCCACGCCCACAATGATGACGGACATGGGGAGGTGCGAGGCATGAACGATGGCCTCCCGGGTGTCAGCCATGTCTGTAATGACGCCGTCTGTCAGGATCAGCAGGATGAAGTATTGCTGGGGTCAGGAGTCAGATGGTGGTTGATGATAAGGGATGAGGCGGGAGAGAAAAATGACAATACAGGATCAGTTAGGTATCTATTTCTAGGTGTCCTCCTCGAGGACATTTTTGTTTGTTTGTTTCTGGGCCCCTCTGCAGGCACAGCACTAGGCATCAACATTTATCAACTTATGGTCAGTCTTGCTTTATTTATTGCCCCCAGTTACCTACTTTGTATTATTTTCAAAGCATGGTACATTTAATATGCACAAAGATGAAACTTTCACTAGTAAAAATAAAATCCTAAATGTGAAACTAAAATTTATAACCCACTGAGCAAAAGTGACAGGATATTTGTGATTTACAAAAGCTTCTTTGTTTGATTTCTATGCCTTAACTAAAACCCATGGTCTCAAAAAACATAGTTCATTCTCCAATGACTCACAATGCATGCTTTCCTCAAAGGCTCCCCAAAGCAGATTCCAATTTATCCCACACCAACATCAGAAGTTCTGGCTCCTTTAATGTTTCTTGGTTATTCTCATGTACCGATTTGATTACTATCCTCAATGGGCTGGTGGTTTTGGCTCTGGATGACAGTCATGTCTCTACTCCCAGACCATCAATTCCACAGCTTTCCCCATTCTGCTAACCCTCACATCAACTTCACATTAGCTCACTCTGCTCACAGCCAAACCAGAGCTGGTCGCCATTCATCAACACTTCACTTAGGACATTTGTCTTGTAGAAAATATCCTATCTTTCCAGCCTGCCTGTTCTCCCTATGTCTTTACAGTGACGTTAGAGAGATCTCAAGACTCTTGCTGCCTCCATATCTTTTCAGGTTCTCATCTATTACCTATCTGTTCTGGGCTTCAGGGCAACAACAGACATGTTTTAAGGTATTCTGACTCTTGGTTTTCAGCCTCTCTGTTCCCTCTCCACGTGAAAGGCTGCCACAGGCTCAACTGAGACAGGGATTGGAGTGAAGGCCAGTGCAGCATGACCCATTGGGACTGAGTACAGATACTGCCGTTAGGAGCACTATGTGCTTCATTGTGAGATGGGAGGGGGGAGCTTTAGGGAGATGAAACACAGGTCAAACCCAAGAGAACTTTCCATACAGCTCCCCAGATATGCTGGATCGTTACAGGAAGTAAGTGTGGGAGACTCAGATGTGCCAGGGTAGAGGTATTACAGCTTGCTGATGGAGCACTTGCCAGGCATGAAAAGTCCTTGGTCCTCAGCATTACAAAGACTAGCACCTGAGTAAGAATGAACATAAGCACACTGACTCACAACAACAAAAGTTAAGAACTCCCTGGAGTCAAGAGAGAGAGTGAATATTCTAGAATCTGTTTCTGTCCCACTTAATGTCCTAACCTTAACAAGCTACAGACTACTGTGTTGAACAGGATGGAAATTTCTAAATAAAGTAGTGATGACAGCCCCGGCCACACCAACCAGCTGTGCTTGAGTCTCTGAGCCACAGAAAATGTGGACTAATGAATGATTATTGTGGTTTTAAATTGGTTAAGGTTGTGTGTCATTCAGCAAGAAGAAATGAGGAGACATGAGGTAAGCCAAGGAACCCAGATTACTTCAAGGTTATAGCCTGAGTGACTAGGTGCATGATGGTAGTGTAGAGAACAGGAAGGGAGGGATGCAGGCAGGAAGACCCAACAGGCCTGCGGGGAAGAACTGATGGGAGGAGAAAGAGAGTTTGAGGGAGAAAATTAAGTTCATGAAGACAAACGATGGCTCTCATTTGGAGAGACTGCTATTGTCTATTCAATATCCAGATGGAGATATTGATAAACAGTGGAATGATGAATTTGAAGTTGAGAGGCAAGTTGGGTTAGTGATACGTATTTGAGAATCAAAGGATACAATAGGTATATAAGGCCACAACCATGAGCAAGATCACCCCACACAGAAAACAGAGGAGATTCAAAGACTGAATTCTGTTTATTATATCTTGTAGGTCTAGATAAACAAGAAAGCAGACACAAGGTAAGATGATCAATCCTCACTTAGAAAGACAAATGAGATGTGCATTGGACATGTGACAGAAGTCTACCGCAAAAAGCATCTGAAAGACCCAACCAAGCAGCGTTTCAAAACAGATACTAAGACTCATAACCAAACCTTCGGCAGAAGGGGAGTTAGTATGACAGGGACAGGATAGGAGCCCCACAAGGACCAAATATATTTGGGCACAGGGTTTTGTTTTTTTTTTTCTGAAACTGTTTCTCCAACCAAGGACCATGTATGGATATAACCTAGAACCTTTACTTGGATGAAGCTCGTGGTAGCTCAATAACCAATTGGTTTCCCATAGCAAGGGGAACAGGGACTATCTCTGTCAGGAACTCAATGGCAGGCTCTTTGACTCCTCACCTCCCAAGGGAGGAACAGTTCTGCTAGGCCACAGAGGAGGACTTCGAAGCCAGCCCTGAAGATACCTGATAAAACAGACCCAGACGAAAGGGGAGGAGGTCCTCCCCAATCCGTGGTCTTGGAAAGGGGCAAGAAAGAGATGAGGGAGGGAGGGTGGGGTTGGGAGGGAATAAGGGAGTGGGATACAGCTGGGATACAGAGTTAATAAAATGTAACTTATAATAACAAACAATAAAAAAAAAAAAACAAAGACTGAATTCTGGAGATTTAGCATGGAGAAGTGATGAGGACCAGAAAGAGGAGGTGGGGAGGAAGAGGAAGAGGCAGCATTAGAGATCAACAGAGCAGTCAGTGAGACAGCAGGATGGAATGTCTAACTTTGTCAAGTGTGGTCTTTAGAAGAATGCTGGGGAGGAAACTTCCATGGGATTGTGGAGAGGAATTAGTGTGTGGAGAGATGAAGACAAGCAAAGCAGCTTACTTTCACTGAATTTGCTGCACGGGGTTGTAACACCTAGACAGTTGCTAAAGGGACAGTGAGATCAAGGAGGCACAGCTGTATATTATAATGGGAGATACTGTGAGAATGTTTATGTAAGGGGAATGAGTGAGGGTAAAGAACAGAATTGTCACATCTGATTCACAGTCTCTGGGTAATGACAGGATGCGTTCCAGGGCACAAAAACAGTGGTTGAGATTTGGTAAATTGTGGTCCCCAATCCATTCTAACACAGGGAACGGGGTGCAGCACAACCAGGTTAGAGGAGTTACTGCAAGATAAGGGCAGAATGTTATCTTCTTTATGCAAATGTGGCATCCTGGAACCCATGATGGAGTTACACAGAGCCTTTCAGACAGCTGGCAGCTGTAGAGTCTATTCTGTTTCAAAAAACATCACAACGCTAGATAGAAACACGTTGACATCATTAAATAACACACAGAAAAGTACCGTGGGGTCATATTTACTTCTAAAATGTTAAGAGAAAGACTCCACCTTTGTTTTGGCTTTGTCAATGTAGTTTGTATTTTTCCTAAAAAACAAATAGAGCAAACATTTGTTGTGGTATTTTGTATTACTGTTCTTCATCACCATAAGATAGAATCATATTTGTGTGTGTGTGTGTGTGGGGGGGTGTTTCATTGGATTGTGAGGGTACATGAACCCATGTGCCCACATGTGGACAGAGGTCAGAGCAGGATATTGGGTATCTTCCTCTGTCTCTCCACTTTGTTATTTAGAGAGAGAGAGTCTCTTACTGACCTGGAAGTTCAAGGTTTCTGCTGAGCTTCATTGCCAGAGAACTCTATGTTATGTATTAGCCTGCCCCTGCCCTTGAGTGAATCCGGGTTGTGGGCATGCACAACTCTGCGTCCCTGGATTTTTATATAACTGCTGTGGGTTCAAATTTACTTTCTCATGGTTACAGAGCAAGTGCTCTTCCCTGTAGGCGCAATGTTATTGTGCACTATGTAAAAGTTCAAATGCTGATTTCTGTGCCCCTCCCCCCAGATATGTAATCCTTGTTCTGAGAATCTCCTGTCTCAATGTCGTCTAAACTGTGCTCTCCAACTGTCCCCATTAAAGCAGCTTAACAGACAAACACTGGGCAGGGGAGAAAATAGGGCTGAACTTCCTGCCAGCTGTTGGAGGAGAAGAGAAAGAAGAAAAGGGATTCAGCCATGGCAGAGGTCTGGAGACATCAGGAGAGCATCTGAGCAGAGAAAGCCAGAAAGTGCAGATAGCTTGGGGATTTACACTGTGAGGAAGCCAGACTAGCACGGGAGTTAATCTAGACTTATATTGCTCAGTTGTTCTGCCAGAAGGTGTGTTAAACAAACATAATGCTACAGTCTCAATTATTTGGGTGCTAGCAGAGTGAAGAGATAACTGCAACACACTTTCCCACTGAACATTTCACCAGCCCTTCAACTCTTGTTTTATTTATGTGGCACAGTGCTTCTATCTGTAGTCTTGGTATACTGAAAAACAGGCTTATTTTTAGAGTTACGTTTTCATTCATGGGATAAGAGGTGAGCTTGACACAACTTAGTGAATGAAGTTGCTTCCACTATTGCGTGTCTGTGTTCAGGCAAAGAGACACATCCGTGTCTACCCTAGGCTTCACTATCTCAGCGGATTTGGGTTTAATTAACTTTATCCTTTCTCAGATGAAGGGACTAAAGATAGAGAAGTTAAGCCATTATAAAACAAAACTAGAATTGATTGTCTGGCTAGAGTGAGCATTACAACTAGTATCCAAGCGAGGCGGGGTGTATCCCTGTCCCTCTCCTTACCGATGCCTCCTTTGTGTTCGTCTCCTCTGAAGCGGACTTGGCAACCTTCTGAATGATGGGAGCGATGTTGGTGGGACCATAAAGCTGGAGCTTGGGAAGACAGCTCTGATAGGCTTCCACGACTCCTTGAATTCCTATGAGGAGATTTGAAAAATCAACACTTCCATAGTCCCTTCATATATATTACACAAAAGCAAGAAAAAAAAAAATCTTCAGATAGTCCTTCTCTATACCATGTGCAGCGTCTTAAGACAAAACGGAATACTAGGTCAGTATTTTGCCTTCTCCCTTCTCCAACTGAAATAAAATCATGACGAGTCATCAAAAGCAACTCTTTCTATAAACTGGTTCACTATGGCTTTAAGGAGGCAGAGGCTGCTCCCATTTTACAGGTGAAGAAGCAGAGGCCCAGACAGTTTATATGATCTGCTCCAGGTCCCAGAGAAGGTGAGTTGCAGACTCAGCATATAAGTGCAGGTGTTTGAGCTGAACGAACCACTCAGCAGGCTGGCTTCAGTGGGCTGGTTTTGTTTTGTTGTTTTTATCCAGAGTAAACCCTGCCTGGACTGCCTATAACCGTCACGGGTATGTGTGACCGTATCTCCAGATATTACATCCATTAGGAGCAAGAATCACGACTCACTCACTTCTGTATTCCCCCAAAGAGCTTGCCACAGTGCTGAGAACACCAAGTGTGCCATGAATGTGCACACAGCCTGCATGCTCATAGGCTGGGAGTTACGCTATAACTGATGTCGGCCACTCATTTAAAGAAGGGCCTTCACTGAGGCCGCATGAGCTCAGGACATAGAAAAGCTGGGATTCTGCTGGGAGAGGCACTTTTGTTTACCCTGCTGCAGTCGGGGCTCACAGAAGACCATTGTGAATAAACTGCCATTATAAATCCATTTTATTCACATGGATGCTGTCGCTGCCTGTGTGACTTTTCTATCCTGTATTTCTATCCTTCTTGGTACCAAAGTGGCACACTGCTCCTGATTTTGACCATAGGCAGTCACAGGAGTCATTGGTGAAATTGTTCTCCAAAGCCATCACATACTGCAAATCAATGGACAATTCGGATGAGCAAGTTCTGTTTTTTCTTCTACAGGTTTCTAACCTTATTGAAAATACTTCACTCACCTTGGCCAGCCTGTCATTCCAAAGGTGGACGCCAAATTATTTAACAATGTGGAACAAAAGCCAAGTGATGCCAAAAGAAGCTCCTTTCCTTTCCTTTTCCCTTTTTTCCTTTTCCCCTTTTCCTTTCCTTTTTCCTTTTTCCTTTCCTTTTTCCATTTCCCCCTTTTTCCCTTTCCTTTTTTTCCTTTTTGCCTTTTCTCTTTTTTCCCTTTCCCTTTTCCCTTTTCTCTTTTTTTCCCTTTCCCTTTTCCCTTTCCTTTCCTTTTCTTTCTTCTCCCTCTTTCTTTCTTGCACAAAAATTTTTGCCTAAGATAAGCAAGTATGATTTCCCTTCCAAAACTACTGAGCATCTGAACTCTGAGAGTGTGAAATGGTAAACACTAGGGTATGTACCTCAGCTTCCTGTGGTGGGAAACCACCTTACTCTCTTGTGGCAGGGTCTTTCCCTGACCTGGAAGCTCAGGGATTCAGCTAGGCTGGAGATGTCTGGAGAGTAGAGGAGCCTAAACCATAATAAACTGGGGTTAGTGATGGGGGAAAAAGTACTAGGATAATGTAGACTATGATTTGAGGTCACTGTGTTCAGATACAACAATATTGATGTCATAGTCTTAGACACTAAATGTCAAGTTTGTTAAAGAAATTTCAGAATGTTCTATACCCTTCACTACATCTCAGCTAAGTATGGAGTAGCCCACGTCTTCCTCAGTAAGAAGGAGGAGAGGACTATGGACACTGATACTCTACAAATGTCTGCCTTCACAGCCTCAAAGGCGCTCGGCTCCAGTTGTTACTTATTCCAAAGCAGCATGTGTCATAACTCATTGTTCTCTCAGCATCATTATTTTGTGAAATCATGTTCAGGAATTTCTAGCCAGGAGAAAACAAAGTAAAATGGACTAGGCTGGGCCTTTAAGTCTTTGAACTCCTTCTTGCACAAACCCGTGATGGTATTTGTTCAGAATCACCGTGGTCAATGTGCTGCAAGCGTCAAATGATTTTCACAGTTCCCTCTCTCCTTAAACCTGCACAGAGAGGAGACTGGGGAAAACCCAGCTGAAAAGCAGAGAAGCAGAAGGAGGAATGTCTCACTTGGCCACTATGGGCCATTCTCTCATAAAAAACAAAAGAAAACAAACAAAAACCTAAAATTAAATTTTAATCAATCAATCAATCAATTTTAGATCATGCTATTTTGATGAACCTTATTTTGGCCAGAAGAACCCAGGATCTTGCTGAAAGCCCAGTTCCTTCCTGCCTTCTGACTCTTCCAGGGTGCACAGCCCCACGCTGTAACGCAGTGCTCAGTTCTCAGTGGAACAGTGTGGTTTACTTGGATTCTCAGAGCTATTTCTATGCTGTGGCCACTAACAACTCATGCGCTGTGCATTGTAAGAAGCTGGGCCTAGAAAGACGCACAGGGTCAGGCTCCATGACACTGGCTTTCTTTCCAGTTTTGACTTACCTGCGCACTCTGGGTTGTCTTCATTAAAGTTGATTGCAAAGTCATGAGAGACCTAGACACCAATTACAAATTCAAAAGAGGAAGAAAGGAGAATTACAGCTTGAATCCAATAAGGAGGCATGAGGCGGCTTAGAGTTTGCAAACAAATGACGTTACATTCATTATGGGTTAAGCAGCAGGCACCATTTTTACACCTTCATACAATCAATCTTAGATGGAAGATGAACTCTCAGTTCCCTGTGGAGCCGAGGTGACAGGAAGATTTTCTAAAATCAGATAAATGCTGACAGGAGGGGGAAAACAAAACATATTTAAAGAAAAGAGAAAAGGCTTCAGAAAAGGTAACATCAAATAGTTTCAAGATTCAAGTGGCCACAGACTGAAGGGTTAAAGTTGAATGAGCTTTTACTTGAACATACCAATTAAACAAAACTCAATTAACTCAAGCTGTCTGATTGACATGGTATTGCTTATAGAGCTGTTGACATTTAAGGATTTTTATGATACACAGAAGTACAGTGCATCAGGATCTTCATGCGCACACAGCTGAAACAGAATGCCTTCTACTTCTGGAAAAAGAAAACAAAATCATACACCCTTTAATCTTCCACCACAAACTTCCCTGCCTGGCAGTGCCTAAGTGTAAGGTGGAATAACACGCCACTTGCTATTTTCTTCCCCCTTAAATCTGATAAGAGAAATGGGATATTCTGGCATCTGGACAGTTTTATCAAATCACTTGGAATTTCATGGAAAAATTCCATTTCAAAGGCTATTTCTGACCACCGGGTCTCCTGGGTACTAAAAAAATCAGGTCACCTCGTTAAAAGGTAGACACTTCCCTTCTTAGCGGGAGGTCACAGGTGAAACAGCTGGTGTGTGCCCACCGTCCCTTTATCCTCCACAGATTCCAGGCAAGTGAACTGATTTCCAAATGCCCTGGTGGGTTTACTTACCTCAAGTTTTTCCTGAGCCTGTAAGATCTTCCTTAGTCTACCCAAGTTATATACTAAACATGCTGGCATTGGCAAGTCCCTAGGGAGATTTGAATGAATCTTGTTTGAATCCCTGGAGTTCAACATTTTTGGAGGTGTTTCCTCAGTCTCTCACCATGCTGACAGTGAGTTAAACTAAGAAACCCTGCAGCTGGACCATTGGAAAACATACCCAGAACACCCTGCGCTCTGGGCTGGACCTCCATAGTGACGCCGAGAGCAAGAATGAGATCACAGAGATGAGATTGCCTGGACACAGGGCAGTACAAGATCGCTCACTCACCGTGTACTCCGGGGGTATCCTGGCACCGAACCCAAAAGCCGGGAACATTTTGTCACTGGAATTAGACAGAAAAGAAGCTGCTTCATTCATTCGTCTAAGGAGGAGAAACATGAGCCTGCAGAGCCTCACTATGGCTTGTGGCCAAGCCAAGTGCTGACTCATGCAGTTGAGACATAATAAAAATTTAAAAAAACAATCCGTAATGTTCACCACTCATTAGTATATAGCCTGTTTCCTTAAGGTTTTTACTAAATTTGAGAGCCAAGAGTAAACAGACCCCTGATTTGCACCCATTCCACTCCCTAATTGTGATTTTCTGTTTCCTTGAAACAGGGATGAGCAATTTGGCAACTCCAATCATTGGCTTAGATAGGATTTTCCATATATATACATAAAATTTAAAAAATTAAGCATTTTTTTTTCATGTAGGCAGACACCTTGAATAAAGTATCACTCAAGACCATACTGTTGATGAGAGTCAGGGTTCAAACACAGGCGATCTAGAATCTAAGGATATATCAAGAGGCAGCGGGAACATTGATAGGTATTGTTTCATTTACAGGATTCACTGAGTCCTCCACATTAAGCATACACATTAGGCAATAAATTATTTGCATGCCTTTTCTTACTTCCTGAGGTCAAAGGGACCCTGTCTTCTATGTTAATATCTTGTTGTTGTTCATATGTTTCTTAGGCAGGATCTCACTTTGTAGCCCAGAATGATCTGGAATTTTCCAAGCAGTCTAGACTGGCTTCTAACACCTGGCATTTTGTGAGCATCAGACTTCTCAGTGCCAGGATTATAGACATGTGCCATAGTGCCCAGCTGTGTTAATATCTCACATTCCCAGTGTCATCCGACCCGGACTGTCATGTACCCTCCTCACCTTCATCATTGTATTTTTCCTTTCTGCTCAATAAGTAGCCAATGATATATAATCCATGCATTTAACTAAATAAGCTGTAGGTAAGTACAGCATAATTTTGATGAAGATTCATGGGCCATGCCTGCCCTTTATTTGTCTTGGTCCCTTTTATGATCACTAGAATTTGTCTCCTAATTTGCGTGTTCATGTGTGTTGTGTCTTAACCCTAGCTGCACCGCACTTGGGGAAGAGAGGCATTAGCTTTTACTGACACATACAGTGGGCTAGCCTGTTCACAGGTGCTATATGTACTTATATAGAATTCTGGGTGTTCTATTTACTCTTTTCTTAGAAAAACTGAGTAAAAGTGATCACCAGAGAGGATATGGAATTCCTAAGCTCATGCTTTTCTAATTACCATCAAAATTTAATAACTGCATGTAGTATTAAACATCAACTGGCAGTTCTAGTACGTAGGTCCTGGAGTAGGCAACAAACAAGACCTTTCTTAAGCAAATTATGTGCTGCAATGTGCTCTGGAATATTGATTTAGGCAGAAGCCGGACATTTCTTGTGCCATTTACCTTCGCTTATTTTCTCTCCTATTAAGAACACAACTAAAGTTTGTTCTTGGAGCAATTTCCACCTTTTTCAGTTCTTTATAGAATTTTTCAAGGGCAAAAAAGGAAAAAAAAGGAATTCAGATTAGATTAGAGTTTACCTCTGAATATCTTCTGCAAGAAAAGAGGACATTAACCTCGCTAATCCCCATGCTCTGAGTGACTTCAAGAGAATCAAAGCAAAGAAGCCCAGTTCTCACCCATCCCTTCCTAACTGATTTAGAAGTTGTTAGCAACTGATGACAGCTTTGACAAAACCTTCCAACACACAGTTGGGGTTGCAGATCTAGAGAAACCAGACTTCTCTGAAGTGAAGGTTTAAATCCTCCACAAAACCACATACTCCCTTGTCTCCCCATTGCTGTGTCAAGCCAGGCTCTGTTGAACATCCCATCTAGCACGCATTAGAGAAAGTATTACTGCTGATAAATAAAAGACTCACCGTAGCTTATAAAGGATTAGCCATAGCTCTAAGAAAGAAAAAAAAACCCTACTGGTCCTTGGAAAGATTGAAAGAGTTTGCCTCAGCTCTTCTTTCTTAGCTTATAAAGAGTGGCAGAGAGAGGGAGTATCTTGCTGGCTAAGTTAGAACAGGGTCCCTTGTGGTGCAGGGATGCCTCAGGAGTCAGAACCAGGAAGCCTGGGAGATGTCACATTATTTACTTTCTTCTTTGATGAGTTTTCTTTTTCTTTTTTTTTTCTTTTTGGAGGGGATATGTTGATTTAATGTTGTATCTACTTCCAATCAGTAACCCAGTGCTTTAATGATATTCCTTTTATACCTGCTAAACCACCGTTGGGGATTTGAAGTTTGCTGAGCTTCATGCACTGTTATGTAATTGAGTTTGGAGAGTAAGATGGTAGGGAAAATGCCTCACCTACAAGGAGAATAATTAATGTGCCAGAAGGGCTGAATTCTCTGAAGTCAGCCACTACTAAGCTTCTACCTAATAAACATACTGAAGAAAAAAATTTCAAGCCTAACACAATAGATTTAAAGTCCATTCTTCCTGTTTAAAAATAAAATCAGCCAGAATGGAATCTTACACAAGGGCTAAGGAAAGGAAGTTGAACAAAAGAAGGCTTTAATATGGGAACTTCAAAGAAGTCAGAACTGGATCCACCAGGCATAGAGCAAAAGGGCCATTAGCAACCGTGGCAAGAAAAAGGCAAGCAGTGCTCACCCAGAAGTTTCAGAAGCATATTACCACACTGGTAAAGGCAGTGATATGAAACACAACACAAGGCTCAGGTCCTTCCATGGTGGCATGTCAGCTGTGTTTAGCTTCACAGGAAATGGCCATGTCCAAATATCTCCATTTGAGAAATTTGATTTTAAGCACATTTTCACTCTCTCCATTAAACAACAACAAACAACACTGAGCTAAAACAAGAGTTTAATATGAGTCGAGGGAAATTACCCAATCTACATGCCAATGGAGGTCAACTCAAACAAGATGGCCTTTCAGAGCACCTGGGTATTTGATGAAAACAATTTTTCAAACAGTCATCTTAAAACGGAGGTTCATGGGTAGAAATGCAATTCTCTCCCAGGGACATGTGAGTGTGGCTTTCTTTTGAAAAAGGGAAATCAGTTTTCAATTCTTCTACTTCCACACATACCCTATGCTGAAGTTGATTGTCTGGAAACGATCTGTGTTGGTGATGCCTGTTATTGTTCACACCTTTCCCTCCACAATTACATTTTTCTTTGCCTCTTCGGAGTCTCAGCTGCAATGCTATAGTGCTTCAGAGAATGAAAACTGAATATCAAGTAAAGGAGCTATTCTTCAGGATTCAAGTACCAAGATTCAACTATCAAGCACAAGATTAAACTTCAAATAAAGGAACAATTCTACAAAATTCAGTAGCAACCAAATCTTCTGCAACTCAGGTCATTGTCACTTTTCACTTTAAAAAGTTGCTTGGGGGTGGAGCTCAGTCGTAGAACACCTACCCACCATGTAGAAAACTTTGGGTTCAATCTCTAGCACTATATAAGAGAGAGAATTTGGGATGTGTCAGGTAGAAAGTCATTAAAAATATTTTGGTGGTGGGGGGATGGCAAGACAGCTCAGTAGGTAAAGCTGCTTGACACTGAGTCTGATGACCCGAAGTTGAACTATGCTGGGACTCACATGGCAGCAGAGAAGCAACTCTTGATAGCTATCCTCTGATCTTCACACATGTACCATAGCACAAATATCTGCAATACATTTTTTAAAGATTTTTTTCTCTTTTAATCATCTATATGTGTGTTTATCTCTCTGTGGGCATGCACATATGAGTGCAGGTGCCTGTGGATGCCAGAAGAGGGAGCTCTCTTGGAGCTAGAGTTCTAGGTGCTGTGAGCCTCCTGATATGGACTCTGGGAACTGAACTTAGGCCCTCTGTGAGAGTGGCTCTTAACTGGTGCTGAGGCATCTCTCCAGTGCACTGAAAGAAATGAGCAATACTGTAAGTTAAAATCTACTTTGATATATTTGTTTATAAGAACAGATTTCTTAGTATTTATAGTGACAAAGGTGAAAATGGGTTAGAATTGATGTTAGATTCTGCTTTAGGAGCAATAGGTAGCCCTTATCCATATATATATAAAATCAGACGTCCCCTATCTCCACATACACTGTTTCATTGCGAGCTGGATTTCCAAAATCTTTATACTTCTTATATACAATAATTAAGCACTGTAATTCTTAACATATGAATGCTCTTTAGATCAATAATATTCAAATGGCAACTGTAATAAAAAATTCAATCCAGAGATACTTTTAGAATAGTTTAAGTCTCTTCATAATGAATCATTTTAGAAATTAAAATTACATTTATATAATATCTTTGTTTTCCTTATAAACATTTATGATACAGCGACCAGCAAAATAACTTCAAAATAAATTTACAAAGATACATTGAGGGCTAAAGAAGAAACTTAGAGGGTAGAGTGTCTGGCATGTACAAAGCTCTGAGTTTGAGTATCCCTGACACTTTATTAGAAACATGTTAAATGGTTTTAAGAATGATACACTGGAACCAAATTTTATGGAGGAGGGAAACAGAAAATGAGTGGTGAAGAAACAAAATTCTCATTTGAAACTGAAGAGCTGATTCAGGCATTTTTTTGTTAAGAATAGATATTGATGGTCAACATCCGCATGGCTTAAGTGGGAAATTACAGAGTTATATGAGAGTTTATTTTTAAACGTCCATGTTTATAACACTCCAGAATTTTCAATTCTTACCACTATTTAAACTCATGATGAAGAAAGGCAGACGTTATCAATGAAAGAATGTGTGAGGGCTGCATATTTTTTACGGAATCCTTTTAGAGGCAAATGACCAAAACAAACAATAAAAAAAAAAAAAAAAAGACAAAAGCCCCAAAGGTCGTTCATCCAACTTGACCTTTAGAGCTGACACTATAATCCTCTCTCTTTTTGTGTTTATTTTTAATGATTGAATTTTGAGTCTTAAAGATAACACCTCCCACCATTGATTATTTACACAGGCAGACCTGCCTGGGCTCTGCAAAGGGAATTAGGTATGCCTCCGATTTGCAAGCAAACAAATAA